GGGCGAGGACGCCCAGTACATAGAGGGGCTTCGCTGGGGAGGGCGCGGTGGGAGGTGGTGGGTGATAGCGAAGGAGATGAAAACCAAAGGCGCTGCGTGCCCTGGAGCACCCTGCGAGCCCGTCTGCTGAGCCGTGGCATGCAGCACCGTCTCCCGTTTCGCTCCCGCTGGCCCAGAACAGCCCCCTGGCTGTCACAGCGCTGCGGCATCCCGGGGATCCACTTCCCGTCCCTCCGGGGTCTGTGTGCTCCGGCGGGAGGAGCAGGTACCAGTGCCGCTTGCTGCAGCTGCGACGCGTGCTGCCTTTAGGTCTGCATCCCCGCGGCACGCATACGGCCTTAGCGTTTCTTCCTTTCAATTTTGACACTTGGCAGTTTCCAGAAGGCATTTGAATCACCTACTGGTACAAGAAGAAAAGGTGGTGGTTTAAATAATTATTTTGTCTTAGAGACTACTCACTTTTTTTCGGTTTCTGACCATTCTTTCTCTTTTCTCCTCCTGTAGCATGTCATCGCGCTACGTCTCGCAGACAGTGAAGGAAGGTAAGAACATGTCTTGGCTGGAGCACTGGTCACACTCAGCTCTGTCATATCCTTAATGGCACCTTCTTAGCACAGACTCTTTTTACCGATTTACCGAAATCACTGCTTTATTACACTTTCAGAATGTGAATTGGCATAAACCATTCTTACGATATAGCAAAATGTGTTTCTGAAGACTATCTGTGCAGCCTGAGGCTACGTAATCAAGTATTGAGGGCTGGGAATGTGGGGGTTATATTGTGTTTCTGAGGCAGTGGTTGGTAATAACAAATCTGCCCACGAAAATTGTTAAGACGCTTTCTCCTCACTTCCCTGTAAGTAACGGTTCCGTCTTTCTCCGTTGCAGGACCTGTAACCACCCGCCAAATCCGCACCATCGTGGAGGAAGTCCAGGATGGGAAGGTGATCTCCTCGCGCGAGCAGGTCACCAAGGCTGCCCTCTGAGACGCTGCCTGCCTGCCTGCCTGCCAGCTTCGCACGGTGAAGCGAAAGGAGATTCCAGCTCACGGGCTGTGGCTACGCAGATCACGAAACGCAGCTTCTCCTTGTATCCCACTCCTGCTTCCCTCCCCCTTTCTCTGAGCACTGCGCTGTGCTCAGAAATCAAATAAAGCTTTTCTTCGCACTGGTGCAAACCAGGCTCTTGTCTTGTTGCTCTGAAGAGCCAGGCTGTCCCGCACCTGGAGCTGCAGGGCAGAGCTCCTCTCTGGCAGGAGCAACGCTCTCCACCTTTGGTACCCGACAGCGGGGCCACTCCACCTGCGCCGCTGTCACACCGGAGAGCTGGCTGCGGCAGTGAAGACAGCTGATGGGGGTGGAGGTCCAGAAAAGAACTGATTACACGGTGTGGGCGGTGGAACTTGTGAGCGTCTTTGTATTTAATCTCAGATTTGGCGCTGGGACTTTCAGGTCAGGGCAAAGTGCTGCTTCCCGGCTGCAATGTACAGCAGCAGCAGAGCTGGAGCTTTGGGCTCCGTGAGTCCGAGCGAGACAGCAAACAGAAACCAGGTCATGCAGCCAGGACCCTGCACAGGGCTCCCTTCCCAGCTCTGCCTCGGCAGTTGCCGTGCGGGCCGGGTAACGAGCTTTGTGGTAAAATGAAACTAAGCCGTAACGCAGCAGGGATACGCCGGCTGAGGCCCCTCCAGAAATACAAACTCAGCTTCGTTAATGCTTGCTTCCCAAGGCACCGCTGAAGGGTGAGGAAAGCAAGCGATGGTGAGCGGTGGGTATGGCCTACGGGAGCAAAACGATGAGCACTCTTCTGGGAGGTGTTTCGGGCACTCCCCGCTGTCAGCGGCGGCTCCTGACACAGCAGCTCTCGTTGCCGTCAGCTGGCCCGGCCGTTCCTGGAAAGCCAGCTCAGACACATTCTTGGCTGGATTCTGTCACATCTGTTACTTCATAAATCAAACTTCTAAATCAATGGGATGATTCAGAGAAATGCTACGGGATGTGTGTGAGAACAGAGCCCGCCACACAGCGTTAAGACCCCTTTCCAGGAAATCTGCCTGGATTTCACGGGGTGATCAGTGAGAATTCACATCTTTTTCAAAACGCTGAAAGGATCCCACGGTGCCTCGCCCCCACCGCAGGCCAGGCAGCAGCGGCCGGGATGCCTGG